GGTAAGGTGGAGGGTCAGAGAAAAAGAGGAAGACCCCCAACGAGATGGATTGGCCAGGTGGCAGCATCGATGGACTCAAGTGTGGCAGCGGTAGTGAGGTTGGCCCAGGATCGGACATTCTTTCGCTCTGCTGTGCATAAATTCACTGTGAGTCGGTGCCAACTCGATGGCACCTAACAACAACAAGTGAACTCAGGTGGAAACCATCTTCACATGAACTCCAATGGGAAGGCCTCCTTGAAACGCAAGGAAAGCCAATATGATCACATGGAATCTCATTTAGGATCACATGAGATCCTGCTACCACACATTGCCAATACAAGCAATTTATTTTGAATGGAATAAGAAGACATGTCAGTAGAGACACTACTGAAAAGTGAACACAAACAGATATAAATACATGTTCACATCAAAAAGACTGGCACGCTAATTCCCTGCCATTCTCAACTAGCCAGGAGAGTCAACCCTCCATGCTTTGCTTTGGCTGGTTTGAATGATCATGTCTGTGTGCAAAGTGAATGGAACCCTTTTCTCTTACAGTGAGCTCTAATTTAGGATGCATTGACTTACATTAATTTACATCGCTTTAATTTAGAAAGGTTGACTTTCTGGGTCACACTCTCCCTCTGTGGGGTTCTCACAGAAGTGGGGAGCACAGGAGGGCGAGACCGTTGGACCTGTGGAGGAGGAGGCTGCTGCTCACCACCAGAGAGTTCTTTTAGTGCACCTGGCCAGCCCCTGGAGCCCACATGCTAAGTCACCCCTGTAGGAGTTTAGGTGACCAGTGAGAGGTGCCCATCCTAGTCCCTTCTCCTTTCTGGTCTGCCAGTGCCTGTCAAGTTCTGAAGGACAGCCTGAGTTCATGAATATCAATGTGCATCCTAGATGCTGAGGACTCTTATTAATCCATAGCAAGGTCACTTTGCCCATAATATATAACGTGTTTGTTTGTTTCTTTGTTTTTAACACTAGATCACCCACAAAGGGGCAGAGGGGGGTTGGGTAAGATCCGGGCAAAGTTATAATTGTTAGTTGCTCTCCAGGCAGCCACGGCTCGTGGCAGCGTAGCATACAAGGTTAAGGAAATGATGCCAGTCCTGTGCCATCTTCCTATGTTTGAGGCCGTTGTGGCCATTTGTCTACTCATAGAGGGTTGCAGTGACCTTCTACTTTACCAAACATGATGGATTTTCCGAGGTATTGGTGTTTTCTCCTGAGGCATCCAAAGCAAACAAGTCATCCGAAGTCTTCCCATCCTCTCTGCTGAGGAGCATTCTAGTTGCATTTCTTCTAAGACGGCCCTATTCATACTTCTAGCAGTCTATGGGTTCTTCAATATTCTTCACTAACACCACAATTCAAGTACGTTCATTCATCTGTCTTCCTTTTTCCTTTTCCATTTTCCCCACGCATATGAATGGCTCAAATTGGGAGAAAATGCCCCAGATTTAGAGTGGTTTTTTTCACTCTTGGAGTCCTGGTATGGTACTGTAGGTTAATGAGCTAAACTGCAAGGTTGGTTTGAACCACAAGGTCACTGATTCAAACTCACCAGCCAGTCTTCAGAAACCCTATTCAGGGTTGTTATGAATCAGAACTGTTTCAACAGCACTTAACAACAAAATTCCTACTCTAGGGATTGATTCCCTAGAGTAGGAATTTATTCCCACAGGGATTTAGGTGACTTTCTCTTTTTATTATTGGTTTAGATCTCCTACAACAGTTCTCGTTGGAACAAATGCTTTCAGTGAGTTACTCTACCACCAACTGGTTCTATGAGTATATTGTTGTTGGTAAGTACCTTCCAGTCAATTCCAACTCATAGCGACACTGGGGTTCAAAGGATCAGCTGGTGGGTTTGAAATGCCAACCTCGTGATTCGCAGTCCTACAGTGTCACACCAGGAGCGAGGCTTCAAAAAGTTTGTGGGGAAATGAAAATAAAAGAGAATGGGTTTTTTTCCAGGAATTTTTTAATCCTCCTCCTATTTTTCCCACCCAGGCCTTTGACACCTTTTCTTTCTCCAACTCCTGATACGTCATTATTTTCCTCAGGTGCATGAATTGTATTCACAATTCATGCACCTTATTGGACAAAGTCAAGGGAGAGATATGGGCTTTGTTGTAGCTTCCCTGTTGTTTTGTGTTTCAGGAATACCGGCCACGAGCATTCTGGATAAACATGGCTGACGCCACCTTTCAGAGCCTGGTTTGCTTTTTCATTCCTTACTGGGTACGTTGGCACCTGAGCAGTTGTCCTGTCTGCTGTGTCAGGTACCACAGACACAGCACGCCACTGTCTTTCAGGCCTACTTTGACTCGGATGCAGACATGTTTACCTGGGGCACCCCCATCACCACCGTTGCACTGCTCACCTTCCTGCTGCATCTGAGCATCGAAACCAAAACCTGGGTAAGCTCGCCTCACGACTGGCTCACATTTCCGTGTGGACTCCACATGATCTGGACTATTTCCAGCAGAAAGGAGATAGCTAAGTCAGCCTCACTCTGTGATGGGAAGGAAAAGGGAGCCCCAGAGCAGCTAGCTGAGTCCCTGTTGTAGGAACTGGTCAGTTCTTTTCCCCATACTTCTCCTGAACACTGCTTCAAAAGCCTGTTGCTATGGAGTCGAATCAGCCTCATGGGATTCCATTTGTGTCTGAACAGTGCTCCATAGGGTTTGCAGTGGCTGGTTATTCAGAAGCAGATCACTGGGACTTTCTTTAGAGACACTCTGGGTAGACTCAAGCTTCCAAACTTTCGGTTATAAGTTGAAGGCATTACAATTTGTTCCACCCAGGGACTCTAGATGCTATAGAGCTCCCCTCATCCCCACATTATAACTTTCCCTCTTTCTTCTGTCACTCCCTTCAACTTCCTTCTCTTACCTGTGTCCCAGGTAGGGACATACATTTCTGAGACTTCACCCAGGCCACACACCCTCAAAGCCAAACACTCCTATTTAGAACATCAAACCTACCCATGATGACTTGTATACATTTTTTCTTGTCATTGTTATTGTTACTTTCAAGCTGAAATAAAAGGACTTTTCTTTCTTTCTCCCTCAGACCTGGTTCAACTGGATAGCTTGTGGCTTCAGTATCCTTTTATTTTTCATTGTGGCTTTGATTTACAATGCTTCTTGTGCAACGTGTTATCCTCCGTCTAACCCCTATTGGACTATGCAAACATTAATGGGCGACCCTGTGTTTTACTTGACTTGTTTCATAGCACCCGTGGCTGCCCTGCTGCCCAGGTGGGTACCAAGGAGAGTGTCCTCAAGTCCTAATTGAACTCAGAGACCATTTCATGTTTGGGACTCTCGGGAACACAAAAGTCCTACCATAGAAATATCTGACTTTTTTTTTTTTAAATGTACTCTTTCCAGATTATTTTTCAAAGCCCTTCAGGGGACCCTTTGTCCAACCCAACTTCATTTGGGACGCCAGCTTGCGAAGAGGTACCCCAAGAAACCCAACACTCCCAAAGACGCCTTTGTTCAGGAGCAACTTCCAGTAGAACCCAGAAACAGCAGCAGCTCTCAAGCCCTCTGTCAGAATGATGACCCCCAAACCTCAGCCTCCCTGGAGGAAGTTCCAGTACAGGAAAATCCCAGTGTGGTGTCTGCAAACATGCTGCCCAAGACATTGCCTTCCCAGGAGTACAGCCTGCTGGAGGGACTAAACAGCCAGGCCCCAGGATCCTCCACGCCAAAGGAGGTTGCCCAGGATGTGTGTACCCAGGACCCCAAGATAAAACAAACCAGTGCGGTTGGGGCAGCTCCCCTGCCCTCCATCTTCAAACTACCCAATCTTAGCTCACTCAACTGGATTTCCTCCCTGTCACTGGTCAGCGAACTGGGAAGTGTACTACAATTCTCTCAGAGTACTTCCCAGGTGGATAAGGAGAATGGTGAGTTCCGGCCCAGACCTTCCCAGCCCACTGAAGACCTGAAGTCTCTTAGGGAACAGACCGCCAAATCCGTCTAGGACACAGACTTGACTTTTTTTATATCAGATATCAATATTCCTTATGTTTATTATTTTGAACAGAAGAGTTCTGGTAAAATATATTTTTTAACGCCAAGGCTAAATGGAAAGACAAAACAGAAATTTTATTGAAAAGAAAAATAAGAGCTTTAATGTATATAAAAGTGTTTAAAGAAAATGACACAAGAAAAGTGTGTTTAGATTTATTTTTTCATGTCGTTTTATAAGAAAAATGCAGTATGCTTGTTTTCTTCAAAATGAGTGACCTCTGTTTTGACAAGTGTGACTGTGGGCGTGGCCAGCCAAGATGCGCTGGGAGGAGACTAGCGGGGAGCATGCAGCCCCCAGTGGCAGGCTTCCCCCTGTCTTCTGATTAAGCAGCATGGGAGGGCTGGCACTTCTCAAAAAGAGGTGCCACCTTAATAAACAATATGGGCATGAAGTTCATTCCAACTCTAGATTCTATGCGGCATTTCATAAGAATTGACTTGTCAGTATTATAGGCCCTGTGAAGAGTTTTGCCTGTGAAAATCATAAGGAGCAATAAAGACGCACTTCTCAGAGTGTGTGGTGGCTGCTATTACACAAAATGATCACTTTATGCCCTAATACAGTGTGTTATGGCTAAGGCATGACATGCCCCTGTGTGAGCACTTTTAGACACTATAAAGAATCCAACCTAACAAAGTACAGCGCAAATGTTACAAGTCAAACCTTGCACCAAGTCATCTGCTCTGACTAGATCCTCCCCGCCACACACGTTGGTAAGTGTATCTTCAGGCATCTAGTAGGGTGAGGCTACCACATCCCAAGCAGAATCCTGATTTCCTAAATGTGTGTAGCTTACAGCTCTTGTAAGTCAAGGAAGGAATCCATAGTTCTGTCCTAGCTGGAGTGGAACTGCCAGGTACTCCAAAGACTGTTTTTCCTGTGAGATGGAGGAGAGGAAGGTAACAAGGCTTCAACATCCAGTACTGCCCAACCCAAATATGGTCAGTGTCCCAACCCAGCACCGCCCCCGACTCAAACACCAAGCAGGCCCCGCCCTCTTCTAGCCTTGAATCAGCATGTAGGAAGAGAGCCTTGGGAAGGCACACCACTCTGCTGTCTCCTAAGTTAAGGTAATAGTTGAACTGTAAGCATGTTTACCTGAATACCTATCTAAAAGTTCAAAGCGCACCAGCTTCCAGGTTTTCTACTTCCTGTGCTCACAACTTACGTCTTGGCAAATGAACTTTCTCGTATGTCCTTCCTCTTGAGAACGGGGAGGATCCAGGAAGTGGCTTCTTAGATATACAGAACAAATCCAGTTCAGAGATACAAAATTCCTAAAGTACATTGGCAATTAGTTGATCTCTAGGATGAATTGTAGGAGTCCTGGAGTGACGCTGTGGGTTAATGCACTGGACTGCAAAGTGATTTGAACTGCAATGTCAGCAGTTCAAGTTCACCATCTACTCCTCAGAAACCCTATACAGGCTCGCTACGGGTCGGAACCAACTCAACACTTAACAACAGCAACAGGATGAAGAGTATCTCAAACGCCAAACCATATAATTTTCAGTCCTTGGAGGTTGAGTAGTGTACCTCTTCACCCTGTATCCC